CACTGGTCTTGAAAACTTTCTATTTGTTTAGAGACTAACTTTAAAATGCTTTGTGTAGCATGTACTGTGAGAACCTAAAATAACAAATGCAAGCAATATTTTGTTTAGAAGTGGTAGAGTTCATTAATAAGCAGGTATAGTTCTGTGCTGTCTGCGGACAGGTAACAGAGTGAAGCTTTATGGTGCAGAAGGGTGATTTATGTGACCTTTAACTCCTTAAGTCTGGACCGTTCCCTGGGGTTGCCCTAGATTAAGACAGGATCTGCTTTTCAGTCCAGACTTTTCAAGTGAAAAGCAGTTGAGTCAACCAGTGGCTTTTCCGCCCTTTACATTCACAGTTGTTGCAGACGGAAATTGTGTAGGACTATGTAAATTACTGCTGTCTGTAAACATTTCCCCTGGATTCTTTTGACCTCTGTGCTTCAGGGATAACTATTATCCTGTTGACTTCAGTCCCTGTAAAGTGCTGTGCACTATATAATTGTATGAGAATGAGATGCCTGTCTGGATGCTGCTGCTATAGAAACAAAGAAGATGCGTGGTTAAAAATTAAGCCTGTACAATAAATCTAGTGTAATATGACCTTCACTTTGCTGAGATGTTTTGCTATGTCTGATGCTACAGAGTGTGTATTTTTTTTTTTTGCAGTTGTGAAGTGCTTTCAAAGGTGCCCTCCAAATAGGAGGGTCATTGACAGAGAGAGCTGTCTTAGGTAAATGTAAGTGTTGTTATTGCTTAGAGTATTGTTATTGTCTCCTTTACTTGGAAGACCAGAAGGAGCTTGCTTGGGAGTAGTTTTTCAGTTGCACTGTTTTTTTGGTGACTTACTGTGACTTTTGCCACTCCTCTGAATTCTGTGGAGGACACTGAAATATTTAGGAAGGAAATGACTTCGTACTCTGGATTTTGAACTGCTGGACAGATGCTGTCTGGTCATGTCAGGGATGTGCTAGCTGCAGACTCTTTCAGCTCCAGCTTCTGTCTGTTCATGTGAGTGGTACAACCAAAGGAACAACAGGAAAGAACTGAAGTTGTCCTGTTTATGTAGTTGATACCATTGTGCTGCAAAAGATCTAGAGCTTTTGATTTTATATCCGAAGTTCAGGGATAAGCAGCTGTTTAAGACTTTCAAGGAACTTCCATTTCATTTCATCTGACTCAGCAGTCATAATCTTAGGAGGCTTCTTAGAAATGTTGTTTGGAGCTCCTATTCCTGATGTTGCAGTGTTTTGTTTGAGAAAAATTGGCTTCCTTCCTTCCCCTTAATATGTTAAAACATCAGTCTGGAAAAGCAATTCTAGCTTTCTAAAAATCTAACCCAACAGCTGAAAATACCACTTCCTTATTAATCTATTGTTTTATTTTGAAAAGGGGGTGGGGGGGGTTAAAAAGTTCTGACGCACCGAGTGTTCACTGCAGCAGAAGTGCCTGCTGTGGGGTAGTGTAGTAAATGAGAGGACAGATTCTCTAAGTTTCTATTTCTGTAATAATTACCAGAGCTTGAAGTACCCGATGGGTTACAAATATAAAATGGCTGTTTATGCCTCTGTTTTGTGGGGAATTCAAATACATTAACTGCCAAACCCTGATTTATTGCTATCTCCAATTCCCAGACTCTCTTAACACTGTCAACCCTCTCCCCACCACTAACGAGCTGTGTAGTATACCAGAAAGCTAGTTACCAACAAATGTGTGAACCCCAAGGGAGTTTTGTTTCAGCTCGTATACCTTTGCTGATGAAATCACTGGCATGTGAAGAGAGATGACTTTGCTGTAGTTAGAAGAACTAAAAATTTTTAGGGTAGTGTTTCCTGAACTTCTTGGATTAGCCAGCTACTGTCAGCTTCCAGAACTTCTCATGGAGCATCAGCATAATTGGATGGAACTGAGGTGTTACTGGATCTTGCTGCTAGCACTGTTCTGGATCAGCAATGATCTGTGAAAAACTTCAGGAAAGTCTGATCTAGGGATGTATCTGTAAGACAAAACTTAAGTCCAGTTTAGAAAACAGTAGAAGGTAGTCCTGTGCGCTGGTAACTCACGTTACTTGAACAGACTGACGTGTTATGGCCGCGTACTTCTCAGATTGCCACCTCTTCCTGAGCAGTGCCTCAACTCAGAGAGCGTCCAGGATTGTTGTTTTACCAGAGGCTAATTTTCTCTATAAGGCGTAGAGTGGCAAAGAAAAATTGGTCATGGGTTTAAAGTTAATTGATGCAGTGAGAGCTTTCTGATTGTTTGTGACACTAAAATAATTGTGAAATCTCATTCTTAGCAGTTACTAATTAGATTCCAGGGATATAATTAAAAAAAAAGTACTGTGACTGCTCTTCAAACTATGCTAGGGAAAAAAAGTAAGCTGTTACCAAATCTGCATCGTTTAATTCTGTGTCTGCTTCTTTTCGATTACATTGAAGAGGGATATCACTTTTTCAGAAGCTGAGGAATGCTGATCACAGGTATTTCTGTACTTGGACGTACTGTGGTAATTAAGTCTTCAACTGGCAAAGGCTTGGACTGTGGTTGGAAGATCCACATCTGACTGCAGCATATCTGATGTACGGGAGAAACAAGTAATGGTGAAGCATTGCTGGCTACTGTCATAGCACAATTGAAAAACTAATGTAAGGTTAGTTTTAAAACTAATGGAGATTAAACATCCTGGTCCTCATTTTTCCATCTGAAAGAACTACAGGTGGATGCAGAACTGTTCAAATTGTATGCTGACTTCTGATTATTTTCCTGGTCTGCTAGCCTCATCTCAGTCTTAATCTGGACTGAACTTTAGACGATCCTTCCTGAGATAGTTCGTGGCAGCAAATCTTGCCTCACTTGCAGGAGGGAGAGGCAAAATTTTAATATTAGTGTCCTGAAAATAATTCCATCTGCTCCTATTCAGCCTGCTTAAGGGATTCTGTAATCACCATATACAAAAAAACTTCCAAAGAGCAGAAGAGCAGTTGTACCTTTGAATATGTAAGTTAGGAAAGAACAGAGCTTCTCAAGCAGTATATTCTAGTTTTGCTCCTATTTCTGGGCAGTCCAATGCCTCCTACTCCAAATTATCCCCGGCTGTTGCCAGGCCTGACAATCAGTGTCAGGCACCCTGATCTTCAGCAGTTGCCAGGAGATCTTCTAGTGTCACTAGTGCAATTTTTGTTCTCTAACCTGGCCTGTATCTAAAAATGTCAGAGGTCACAAAGGTCTTGTGTTGCTACACAGTCACTGCTTTTTCTTCAGATCCTAAGTGAGTATGTCTTTTTTTTTTTTAATTTGTTAGAAACTGAGCTGGGGATGAACGTGATTATGCAGTACGAGGATGTATAAGTTGGCACCAACAAAAGCGGGTCCTTTGCTGTTTGAGATTTGCTTTTGGATATGCATGTGCCGATTGCTTTGTAAAGGTTTAATACATTCTTGTCAAGCTGAAAACAGCATAGGCAAAGGAGAAGAAGTGATTAGAGGTCATTTGTCTTCTGATCCTGACCTTGCCACAAGATTTTCTATGACCAAGGACAATTTGCCTCCTTTGTAAAACCTGCTTAGTATTTCTAATCCCTAAAGCAGTTAGAAAGGTATTTGTCAATCACTTCAAAAGACTAGGAGATTCTTGGTTGATACATATTAAAGGAGTCCAAAGTATAATGAGTGTCTGTAATAAAGATAATTATAAGGTAGACAAGTATACAGTGCTTAGAAGTACATTTTAAGTATGTATTTTAGGGTGTTGTGGGGTGAAAAGGATGGATCTTCTCATTTTGCCAGGAGGTAAGGTTTGCCTTTGTTAAGGAGCATCACTAAATGGACTCTTGAATGTTATAGTATAAGGTTCACTGAAGGATTTGTTGGCTTTTTTTGAGTGCAAAAAGCATATGGTAGATTTCTGGTCTAGTTTAAATGTGTAGTTTGTTAAACGAATTGCTTATGTTGGAATATTTAGGAATACAAAGACATTGTAAAGATAAGCATCTTGGAATAAAATGTTCATTAAGCTACTGTTTCCAGGAGGAAGCTGCTGTGTGTGGAAAGTATTAGGAAGTTCCTACTGTGAGCAGCTTATGAACTAATTGCAGTGAATTGTCCCCACACTGATTGTGTTTGAACAGCATTTAACGCAGTGGGGCTTTCATCCTGTTTAGGTCTTCTAGTTGCTGCTAGGGTAAAGATATCTTCCCAGCACCGTATTGTTCTCCGAATGTTTTCTGACATGTCAATATTTTTCTAATAACATAACGTCTGAGACTTCAAGCATTACTTCAGGTGTTGTCATGACCAAGCTATGTGAAGATAGCTTCTTGTCTGCTCTGTCTTGCATTACTCTTGCAGCTCCACAAGTTAGCCCTTCTCATTGCCGTATTACTGTGCAAATACCTAATTTGGAATGTGGTTACCTCGAATCTTCCAGCAAAACTGCTGCTTTGGTCTTTTCACACAAAGCAGTCAAATAATTATGTAAATATTTCAGCTTCCCCCTCCTTCCCCCCCCCCCAGTTTGAATTCTGTTTTACTTTCTGACTCTGGGATGTGATTTAATCCATATTTTAATTTTGTGCAGTTGTGACAGAACATATTAGTTAATGTGATGCTGAAAACAGCTTGATTTCTAGCTGACGTGATCTGTCACAATCTGTAGGGTTATGGCTAAATATCCCAAGGTGTGGGCTTTAATTGTGATTGATTGGCTTGCAAACCATGCTCTCTGTCCTGCTCTCTGAAGACTGCATGGTAAGCATCGGATCAGTTAAAGACGAGCAGAAATAACCCTTGTGTAGTTAAGATTGTGATTTAAACTAGGCTTTGCAATGTGGAGAAGAGAAGAGTGTTCTTTAATCCTTTAGGATAGCATTTTGCTCCTTTTAGGATCATCCCTTTGAAGTAAAACAGCATGTTCATTATGTACGCTTCACTTCACTTCCTGGCTGGGGCTGCACTTGCAGCCTTATGCAAGTTCTCATATGCATGGAAGCAAAGCTTTAACGTTTTCTCATTCTGTTGACGTGATGGTCCGTTTTAATTGTCCTTGTGGTTACAAAAGGTGTCCTCCTAAGAAACTGCGTTTTGATGCTGTAATTATAAATGGTTATTTTGATAAAATGCTTTATTTGAAATATGGCTTCTTACAGGTGCAGCTTGTTGGTTTGGATGAAGAGAGCTCAGAGTTCATTTGCAGGAACACCTTTGATCACCCCTATCCTACCACAAAGCTTATGTGGATCCCAGACACCAAGGGAGTATATCCAGACCTTTTGGCAACCAGTGGTGACTATCTGCGTGTGTGGAGAGTGAGTAAAGTCTCTCTTGAAAAAGATGATCTATGATCTTAATAGCATTGCACGTGGATCTCATTTTCACTTGAGACCGGGTCTTTTAAAGCGAATTGTCTTCCATTCAGGGCATCTTGCATTTGCTACCGTGTGGAGGAGAAAACATAAAACCAAGTCAGAGCAGCTGACAACTTGTTTTCTTAACTGCAATAAAAATATGACTATATATTAAGAGCTATAGGAGAAGCAAGTCTAGGAAGGTAGTTGTTATAATGTGATACAACATGAAACAGATGCTGTTTTAATCACAAGATTGAGAGAGAGAGGTGATGATTGTATTTTCCAGAGCTTTAGGATGTAAAGCTGAGAGGAAAGAAACCTGCTCTGTGATGTTGCTATTGAAGTCAGATGTTTCACTTTTTCTAAAGGTGGGTGAAACAGAGACCCGGCTGGAGTGTTTGCTGAACAATAACAAGAACTCTGATTTCTGTGCTCCATTGACATCATTTGATTGGAATGAAGTGGATCCTTACCTTCTAGGTGAGAATGACACAGTGCTAAATATTCAGCATGGAAAAGATATGCCTCTGAATTTAGTCTGGTGAAGTTCCAGCTGTGACTGGCTGCTGTCATTGCAATCAGTAGTCTGATCACTAATGAGTGGCCAAGCTTGTACATCAGAGGAACTGCCATTGTCCTAGACAAAAAAAAAAAAAAAAAAAAATAACCAGCAGCTCATGGAGACCTTTTTCTGCGTTGAAAGGTGCCCTCTCTGCTGCAGAACGGGTCACACAAACTGGTATAACCTTTGCTGCCTCTGTTGTTCCTTACTTATGGATAGGAAGTCTTAGTCTTTAGGACTGGTGAGCTGATGCCTGTTGTAATTGAGCCAGCAGAGGCTTGTTTCCCCCAAAGAGTGCAGCCATTCATGTCAAGGGGATTTGCCAAGAGATTAATAGTGATAGTGTGTCTTTGCAATTATTTACTACTTGATTTATTTTGTGTTGCATCTCAGCTTTTAAGAGCTTTGCTCCTAGCCCCCACCTCGAGTCACTACTGCAACATTTATAATTAGAGTTTGTTTCTGACATGTACATCAGACTCTCAGGATGGGAAAAATCGTATCTTAGAGTCGCATCAGGCTTCCCTGTAGATTGAAGAAGACGCAAGCTATTTACACTTTATTTGTGTGAGGAAGGCTATTTCTGTAGCTAAAAGGGTTGGGTCGCTTAAAAGCGTTGGAAGGCTGTTGGCTGTTTGACATTCTTGATTTTCAATTGCATGCTGTTCTTGTAGCTATTTTGATTTGTAGGTGTCAGAGGATATTGGACCAATCCAGTAAGTGATTAGATAATCCACGAGAATAATATTCCTAACAAATGTTTTTGTTTTAGGTACCTCTAGTATTGACACAACCTGCACTATTTGGGGTTTGGAGACAGGACAGGTTCTGGGAAGAGTAAATCTGGTCTCTGGCCATGTTAAGACCCAACTTATTGCACATGACAAAGAGGTGATGGCTTTTTGTGGTTGTTTACATTGCATATTTTAAAGCAGTAGAAAAGGAACAGAGCTTTTCTGTTTTCCCCCTTTTTCTTGATTTTAAAAAAGGTTATCTATCCAAAATTAAGATTTACAGTTTTGAAGACCAAATTAATTAAAACCATAGCAATGGCAAGCAAAATTACTCAATGTACTCATTATAGAATCCAGACTGGAGCATATGCTCCTTTTAACAGATTATGTTCCAGAATATTTTAGAAAAATGAGATAAAATATCAAACTGGAATTGAAATTAACTGTATATCAAAGGCAATAAACAACTTACAGGATTGTTTTATTTTAACATAATGCTACTCTTCAGCAATTAAAATAAAAATCTGAGTCTGGGAAATTTTAATATTCAGTTTCAGTGAATGATCCTATGCGTAACCCTTCAAACTTTTTTTTTTGCTTGTTTGTTTTTACCCCTCCCTGTGGTAACTGTGTAACTAAAAGCTTGCTAGGAAAGTCAAGTATCTGACACAAAATATCGCTACTAGATCTGCTGTTCATATGGAAAATCCATTTTACTGCTCACTAAAACTAAGTTTGTTTCTCTGTCCTAATATTGAGCAGGTGTATGACATAGCATTTAGCCGTGCAGGTGGTGGGAGAGATATGTTCGCTTCAGTTGGTGCAGATGGCTCTGTGAGGATGTTTGATCTCCGTCACCTGGAACACAGCACCATAATTTATGAGGACCCACAACACCATCCGCTGCTGCGTCTCTGCTGGAATAAGCAGGATCCCAACTATCTTGCTACAATGGCCATGGATGGCATGGAGGTAAGGCACTAGCTTTTCTGTAGCTGCCAGGGGTTGTGATTTTTGCAAGGTGGTTTGCTCGTTAGTACTCAGTTCCTTGAAGTAAGTGGGCAGGTTGAGGCGGGGGGGATGCTGTGTCAGTGCCTAAAGTGGAGTATGACAAGGATCAGTCCTTACTGCACTGATTCAGTAGGAGATATAAAGATCTTTTGAGGGTCACTATAAATTTGCAGATGTGTACGGCTTACATATTTCAGGTGGTTTTTTTTTTTTCTTTGAGAGAGGTCTGTGAGCCAGTTAGTCTTTATATGAAATCTTATCAAGTGCAAGTATTTTAGTCAGCTGGTTCTTTCTCACTTCAGTGCACAAGCTAGTGCATCTTAGCTTGTCACCAGTGCTGCTTCAGGGAAGTATAGCCCATCTGGCCTGTTGTATAACTCTCAAGCCCTTGCCTGTGAAGTCTTACTCCTTTCAAGACAATGAGCAGCTCTTTGAGAACAGTGTGTGCTTGCCAAAGGCATCCTTTAGGAAAGGGCTGTATTTATAGCCTTGAGTCAAAATATTTTGTTTTCTGAAGAAAAACTAAAAAACTAAAAAATGACAAAAATCAAATTATTAACTTGTGGGGTTTTTTTCCCCGAAGGTTGTGATTCTAGACGTCAGAGTTCCCTGCACTCCTGTTGCCAGGTTAAACAACCACAGAGCATGTGTAAATGGAATTGCTTGGGCACCTCATTCTTCCTGCCATATTTGTACAGCAGGTAAGCGTGGAAAGAGATTCTTGATCCATCTCTAGCCTTTTATATTTGTGAAGGTCTGGGAGACTTGCATTTGTAAAGTCCTCTCTCTCCAAATGTTCATGTAGTTTTTACTTCTGCCTTTTGCTAAAGACCATCTGCAATTTAGAAGCCCTTTTTATTTTGAGATGCTCGTTTTATTGATGACTTTTTTCCTAAAATTTTTATGAAAATTGAGACACTTAATGAAGTTTACACATTTTGTATATTGGGCTCCATAGTTCCTCACGGTCTCTCCCTTGGCTAATGCTATTTGATTTTACTGCTGCTTAGTGTTTTCTGATCTAATTCTTAAATGTTTTCAACAGATGTGAGTTCCACTGGTTGGTTTTTAACTCTATCCTGGATAATGTGTAATGGTGTGTGCAGCAGGTTAATTGTGTTGGAGCAGACTGCATCATTGTATCTCTGGCTTGAATTCTCATTGGAATACAGCAGGCATTTACTATCTGGCTTCTCAGAAAAGACCCATTTTAGCCATGTATGGAGGCCTTGTAATGCCTTTTTCTGTTTCTAATGTTCTTGTCCATTTGCAGCGGATGACCATCAGGCTCTCATCTGGGATATCCAGCAAATGCCTCGTGCCATTGAGGACCCTATCTTGGCCTATACAGCAGAGGGAGAAATCAACAATGTACAGTGGGCATCGACTCAGCCAGACTGGATAGCTATCTGCTACAACAACTGCCTGGAGATTTTAAGAGTGTAACATTACTGCTTCATGCCAAATTGAGGCAGGGCTGTATAATTTCCCCTCCCCTCTAAAGTAAGAACAGCAGAAGTCAAGTGGCCAGTATCTGTTGTTGCTTTGCATCTACTGTTCCAAGAAACTGTTACAAGAATTAATGGCAGGTGTCTCCTGTCTCTCCAAGACTCTAAAATGCAGAGACATGCTGAGCCTCTTGGACCTCCTGGGTTCTGGTTTTAATTTTTTTTCTCAGTTAAAAAGTTCTGTATATTTGTTTGTTGACTGTGTTAATAAGCTTGCAGGCTTTAAGTTGCTGCATATGTCCATGTGTTTGTCAGCCAGCTGAGGCAGCGCATTCAGCTAGTTTAATAGATGCAAGTGTAAAACAAGGTGGGGGGAAAAAGACACTGATGTTAACAGCCACGTTGGCAGGAATCTTTGTTCCTGTTGTTTCTGCCTCTGAACTGTTTAAACGTTTGTATGTTTTTTATATATTGGGCTAACTTTCTATTGAGTAAGGCTTTTCTCCCTAATTCTTACTTTTGATATGTGATCCACTTCCATATGCCCAAAGCAGGATCTGTTCGTAGATAGAAATCACAGTAATGCTGTAGGCCCCCTGACAGTAAAGGCTTGCCAAAACTAGCTGTTGCCTTGCTCCTTATACCTGGTTACCTGGGCAGAATCACCTGGTGCTGTGAAGTACCTGTTGCACAATTTCTTTAGACTTTTCTGACACGTTAGGCAGTTGTTACGATGGTAGGCCTTATTTTTAAATTATAACTGAATTTATTGTGTCTCTCCTAAAGCTGTGTTAGGTAACAGAGTGGTAATAGGTTTCAGAGAGAAGATACTTGCATGACTTGAGCTATCTGTGAGGTAAATGACTTATGAAAAAAATGTGATTTGTAATGGACTTTGGATTGACATTTCCAATCAAATGATTTCCCCTTAGAAGACTTACTATCTGAACCAAAATAAAATGGTTTCACACTTTGTACCTTGCTTGATTGGCAAATGACATGAGCAAGATTTTGTGGCCAACTCGTACATTGGTGCTTCTTTGCATTTGGTTTGTATTCCTGGGAGTCCTTGAGAGGAGCAGGAAGCAATCTTTTTCCTGAGTGTATTTGTTTTGTACTGTTAGAGCTTGTTGAATGAGTGAGATGTGTTGGAAAAGCTGGTCTACTATCCAAATGAAAGCTGTTTCTCTGAAAGAAGTTTCCCTAAGTGATGCATAAAGTTGGGTTTAAATTGAAAGAAGCTGCCATCAGGGCTATGGGTTGGTGCTAGTCCTTTTCTTTTGGGAATGAAACCCAGGGGTTTCTGTTTGTTTTGAATAGTGGGTTGCTCTACGGTAGTGGTTTGCAATCAAAGATGAGTGGATTAGGCAAGCTAAAAATCTTTCAAAGAGTTTTAATGTAACATAGCTGTTCAGGTGAATGCTCCACGGTACTCTCCCAGTAAAGATACGACAACTGTAATTGGGCTGTGAGGTATGCCAGCTGAATTTTGATAATTTGTAAGAGTCAGAAACTATCAAAATTGTCTTTCAATCTAGTGAGTATCTACCTACAGCTAGAGGCAGCCTTATAAATAGTAGGACTCTGGGGAACTTGGCTTTTTTCAGTTTATGCAGGAAAGGCAAGTTGGGAAAAGCGATTGCTGTGAAACAGTGAAGCTGACACTGAGACCACTGTCAAATACAGAACAGAATCTGAAAAAAAAAAAAAAAAAGTTTTATCATTCTGGATACATTGAAAACGATGATTTTTTTTTCTCCAGGTTACTTTTCAACGTAGGGCTCAGCAAAGCACCACTTGGTGAATTTGATCGGAATTGATTAGTGATAGCTCTATTATGTTACCCCTTTTAATATCAGAGCGCCAAGAGAGACTACAATACAGTTCAAGCTCATGCATTCTCGTTGACATTCTGTGTTCAGTTGTGGAACTTCTGACAAAACTTCACTGCAGCTAGTAAGAAAATCTGACCTTAAAGTCATGAGTGGCATGTTCCACAGGCAGATTTGATCTAAACGTCAGAACAGCATTAGCCAAACAATTAGGTTATCATTCTTCACAATAGCACTTTATCTTAAATTGGAAAATGCTTGCGCAGAATTAAGAAGTGAAAATTAGGCTTTTTTTAGCAGCAGCATCTAATTGCAGTCACAGCTTAAGTCATATAAAAATATGTATGCAGGCTTGGAATGTACTGTTTAATTACAGCACGTTATGCCTACTGTTTGTGTTACTAAGAGGGTTTTTAACTTTCCGACTTGGAGTGCAAACCTAGTTGTTACTAGACAAGCTTTTAATTTAACTTGCTGTGGATTTGGGAATGATGGGAACTACCTGTAACACTAGTACTTTCAGTAGTCCCCTTTATGCTTTGAAGCCTCATTCTCATATAGATAGTAAAAGATGAATTAGAAGATGATTGCTTCTGCTGCTTAGCTAAAACCAGCTATTTTACGACTGTAGAGCTGTGCTTTAAAAAAGACATGAGCAATTTAGTTGAAAGTTGAGTCACTACGAGACTCCATAGGCTATACCTGATGGCAAATATGGTCCATTCTTACAGGAATATAATCTCTGCTATGTTAAGATGATGAAGAGAAATAGCATGTATAAAGGGGCTAATAGTCTGAATAAACTGGTAGCTTTTGCTACCATTAGAAAAAATGCTTCTGTTGTGAACCTGAAGAGGATCCAATGCGAGTCCCCTCTACCCACAAAACTGCTTGAAGTTTGCTTCTGGGATTGGCATCTGATTCCAAGCTCTTCAAAGGCAAGTGAAGGAATTTTGGAGACTCCTGTGGATTCTAAATAAAGCCCCTATCTTGTTTATTTAGCCAGTCGGGCTACCTTTAATAACATGTTGCTTTGGGCATAGTGTGTCATTCTTCATATGAAATTTAATTTGGAATCACTAGAGGTTGTTTTGGAACAGGGGAGTGCTACTTAAAATAGCTTCTTTTCAAAGCAGTCACTTAGGAGGCTAATGACTGGAAACCCATGAAAATCCTCATGGGTGAGATGTTCTGTAGTGCAAATGGCGCTCCTGTATAGGGGAGGAAGAGAGACTTCAGTGCCCTTTTGCCAACACCTTCTGACACGGTGGCAGCGAACGAACTGTCTACTTGCAGATAAACTTGAACCAGCAAGAAAAAACCCTTGAGATTTGTCACTGCAGTCTATGAATCGGAAGAAATAGTTGCTCGTGTTACACCCGGCATAATTAAATGAATGTTAAGCTGGTGAAAAGCTGCCATAAGAATTGTTTTACTCCAAAGTTTATGGAAACAACTGCTTCAGCACTTGATTATTTTTGTGCTTTCTAGATGTTGCAGAGCAACTGCTTTCAAACTCCTTATATCCGTTGAGCATAAAGTAGCATTAAGGGAAGAGTCTGAGCCTCAGTGAGGTTAGCGAAGTAGAAAATAACGTGATGTTGTTGAAACAAGCAAGGCTTCGATTCTGGGATGGAAATGACATTTCCTTGGACTTTGCTAGTTCTGTATCACTTCTCTGGCTGATTAATTCCCGATACTAAGCTATTGTTGGGTTGCTTTGTTCCGTTTAAACCAAGCTTTTGCTAGATTCCGACTGTTACATGGACAACCTGTTGCTAGCATATTGGCTCTCAACCAGATGATCTTGGTCATATAAATTCATTAGTGAAGTGAAAAGCTACGGGGGGGGAGGGGAGTTGAATGTTGAATTAGCGGGTTAGTATGTTAACTCTGTAAATGTCTAAATGAAATGGCCTATGGTAGGTTGCATCTACTGGACTTGTACTTCTGTGTGCAGGGACTTAATAGGCAAGGATTTGAGTGCTTTGACAATCTATTTAGAACAGAAACATGGCGGTTTCAAAGAATGAAATGAAAGGAGACCGATAATACAGATTGTTCCTTATGGGACCTTGAAATGTACTTAAAGGGGGAGGCATTGCCTCTCATAAGTCAAAATTAATGAGCCTTTCAGAACTTAGCTGTAATTAGTCTCCTGAATGTTCTGGATAATAGTAAGAAGATCTATTTTTTGCCTGTTGTCACAATGGGAAAGCCACATCAGTCTCAACTGTAGATCATTGCCTACCAGAGACTAGGTGAGGGGAAAGGTCTAATATATTGGAATTCACAGATGCTCTTGTGCTTGTTCTAAATGTAAATTAAGAAAGCTGAGTGTGTCTGCTTTGTTCTCTTACAGATGGCACTTTAACAAGTATATTTTGGTAAGGTTAGGATCTACCAGAGTCTTTTCACGGTAGGCATTTATCTGTGTTGTGTATAAAGTGTTTAAATACAGCAGCTATTGAACTCCTAAACTGGCTATGGTGGTTGGTGTTTAGAGAGCCCTCATCTGTCTCTAGTGAACACCCGAAACACGAGCACTTGACAACACTGTTAATGTTGCAGAGTGAAGCGCTCTGTTCTGCGAATGATAGTCTTGCAAGGCCAGTCCAAGTAATATAGTGCTGCTTGCCACCCAGATAGAGTCCCTTTGCTTTGCTTAGGAACTTGGCAGAGTTTGGGAATCCTCTTTTCCACCTTTTGAAAGTGATGGCAGTAATGGCCGGTTGGTTGTATAAAGATGTATAAGGTAGGTGGATTCTTCAGATAACTTATTTTTGTGATAGAAAAATGGCTGCTGCCATCTCTAAATTCACACAACTTAGGTTCTTGAACTTGTCAGTTCCCTTTGTTAGCGGTATTTTAACTCCTTTCGGTATGTCCTGAAAGGATAAATGGCAGCAAGGGTAAGCTATTGGCTCTATTGTGCGGTAACAGGCCCATCAAAATACTGAAGGGTTTAGTCTTCCTATTGCTTACTAGCAAAATGGTCCTATTGCCTCAAATCCGAATCATGTTAATCCTATCAATTAGCACATAACTTATCTCTGATACATATTTACTGCTCTCTACTATCAGACAGTATTTCAGACCAGATCTGAATTTATTGTCCAGTGGACGCTAAAATGAGGCGTCCAAAACTTGTTCTGAAATGGGCAAACTCCTGTCAACTGTGTCCCCAGTTTTCTCAGTCTTTGCAGAGAATCCAGGGAATCACTTGTATGTGGCACTTAAAGAGCACTTTCTCATGCTTGCTTAGAGATGCAGCTGTATTTTTTCCCCCTGCTTACCCTAGAGAAGTCAGAAATGTTTCCTTGTCAAAGATACTGAGAGGAGTTTAGCATGCTCCTGACTATTCCTTTAGGAAAAGATCTCCAGAACTTTTGATCAGCACCTTTCACCAGCACTAAAAAACAGTAGTTAAAAATGCAACTGGACACACCAGTCGCTGAATGCTCCTCTAGCGATTCATGTCAGACTAGAGGCAAGGGCACTTGTGAGACTTGCTCACTCCTGTCGAACTTCAGGAAAATAACTGTTTGCGAAGTATCTCAGTGGCCTTTTGTGCAGCCACTAATACTCAGCATCAAGCTAGAGTTTCCGTGCTCATCAGAGAAAATTCTGTCTGGCTTCCTTAAAGTTTATTCCTTTTCAGAAAATCTAACAAAAGAAATGATCAGCTTATTTCCTGAAAAATATTGCAGCCGTGACTAGCTGTAAGCCTGTTTTCCAGCTCTCATTCGTACCCACAAGTCAACATCTCTTAGAATGTGCTTTCCTATTTGTAAAACATGCAAGCCTCAAGTCTCTTCTGTGAGCGATGGGGATTGGTCTGTCAAGTCCAAACAAAGGCAGAAATGCAAGAACGAGTGAATGAAAGAGTCAATAGTAGAGCTGTGAAGCAATGCGATGCTTTTTTGACAACCTGGTGAATATGAATTATGATATCTACTATTTAAAAAGAACTGTTTTAAAAACACTTGGGTTGCTAGCAGTGTAAAATGTAATTTAAATCTGTTGCGCCGAAGCATTTTTATTATCAGTAGTCAAGTAGGAGATGTTTACTTTTGTGTGTTTTTTTTTCCCTTCTGCTGTTCCCCTTCACAGTCCCGTGTGGTAACTTCCTGAAGGTGTAATCTTTGTAGCATGATTGTACAAACATCCAGATGAAATTCCTGACTTCTTATTCTCACTGAAATATGTTAAAGCAATAGTAGTTTTACTTCTGTCCTCTTTATTTTCTCCACCTTCCATACTGAGACTTGCAACTTTGTTACTGTACTGTCCTAGAGGAATCCTAATATCCTGCTGTTCATCTGACATATGTGTTGTTGACATGGATAACTGCAGTGTCCCTATATTCCTTTATTTTTATGGAGAATATACAAACGGTTTTGTTACTATGGATTTTAACACCTGAGTCATGGAACCATATTGTTGAAACTGTAAATTTTAAGGCAATTTTCTGGAATCGCTTGAAAGTGGAATGTTGCATCCTTTTATGCTATTTCCTGCTTCCTATGTAGTTTTATTCAGATTTTTTAACCACCTTTCTAAGTTTCAGCCTCCTGTGTATTAGGTACAGTATTTTCTGCCTTTCATACTTTGTAATAAAAATGGAACATTTGTAGATTGACTGCAGTTCACTGTGTGGTGAGTTAAAACGTACTGGTGGCTTAGCAGGGAACTACTTACGAGTAGGTTTCGTGTGTCCTGTGGCAAGTTTATTGTTGTAAAAGGAAGGCGATTGGCTTATCTTGTCTCTCCTCTGCAAAACTAGTGAAGTGTATTGGATCGCTCATCTTATTCCCAAACAAACCCGATCGTTCCAGTTGCTCTGAGTTACAAGTTACTCAGAGTAATAGCGTTATTAGGAGCCTAGTCACGAAAGAACTTGAATGGAATGGTTAATATTAAAGTATGCCCACGCATACTTTCTTAAAACAAACCTGCTACATCTGACCTGTAGGCTAGTGTTGTTTGCTCTCACGTTTTCTGTTGTCTTTGCATAGTAATTCTTTCTTACACAACAAATGGTAATTATCCACCTGCAGGTTTTTGACTTTTAGGATGAGGGGAAACTTCTGTTGTTGTTTTTTAATACAAATAATTGGTCTCTAAGGCTTTTTGAATGCAGGCAAACTGCAGACAAAGCAATTAGGCACTTACTTAGTTTCTGAGTCTCTCCCTTGTGTGGGTGACCTCTGTTAAAGGGTGTTTTCTTTACAAGCTCAGTCCCTGGTGTGGTAGCTGGAACTGGGACCTAGAGGGGAATGGGGGGGTGGAGGGGGGGCGCTGAACTTGGAAGCTTGTTTCTGCCTTAGAATTTGATGAGCAGGGCCGATGACTTCAGTAAGTATTTAGATTAGTTCTTTCAACTATTGTCTGACAAATAATATAGTTTTGGATTCCTCTCTAGCTCTTTGGGTACTGGCTTTGAAATAAGAGCTTGTTAATCTTCATGACCACAATGGAAAGATTTGCTGTAAAGATGCTGCCCTGTTTTTCAGCTATATAAGGACTTTGTTCTAGTAATCCATATTTGGAAAAGATCCTTTCCTTCTAAAACTGTTCATCTCTTACCCTAGAAAAGTATTTCCATCCTCCTCAATTGTTTTCCCAGATCTGTGCTTCAGAATTCTGCAAAGAAACTTCCTCAGCTTCCACTCTAGAGGAAGGCAAGAAATCAAATTCGGGTATGCAAAGTCTTCCCAGTAAACGATTGCAATGTTGAAATATGTTTAGAGAAAGTGCTCTCTTCAATCTAGAGGTAAATCACAATGCATATTCAAATAGAACCAAACTCGCATCTTCTTGAAATGAGTTTATATAGAGATCTTAAGTGACACTTAGTCTCAAGCAGCAAATATTTAATGCCAGAGTTAAAAGAAGGCTAAGCATTACCTGTCATCTTTTTAGTAACTTCCAGCTGAGAAAACCTGATCTTTTCTTTAGGGAAGTGAGTAAAGCAGAAAAGTAACATCCATTCTAAAGCCAAATGACTGTTCCTTGATTAACTCTTGCTTAAAATCTAACTTAAGTACGTCCTTTCTGTTCAGTATAACTGAGTTGTAAGCTCCCCCAGACTTGCCCATTACGGGATTATGGGCAACATGACAAAAGCTGCATTAGCGGCTCTTCTTAGAGTGGTGGTCAGCATGCCAGCTGAGGGAACTAAACCTGTCATCCTCAGCATCTAATGATAGACCGACCATGTTGCTGATACTGACACTGATTTGCCATCTTTTCTCTTATTAGGACCAGTAGGATGTTGAAATGTGTCAATTGGACAGGAAGTGGGGCTGTTTCCATAGGCGTTCTGTCCCTTCAGTGATAAGGACTGGAAGCTTATGAAATACACCTGGAAGCCACCAGTTTGGGCCTTAATTAAGTCCTGCGAGGGAAGGTGACAACAACTTTCGCAAGTCAGAGATACTAGTTCAAAAAGTCAGGAGCTGGTACATGAGACAAAAAGCAGACTGGCTGTCAGTGCAGTAAAGCAAGTGGTATAAAGCCCTCTAGAGGCATTTGGATAGAGGAGGGAATGAGAGGATCTCTGTCCTTCCTATTATAAAGGAACAGCAGACTTCTGGCATGGTTTGCTTGCTTGCTCTGTGACCATGGGAAAGTCGCTGCCTCTCTGTTACTTCCTGTAAGTGAAAAGAACATAATTAATCACTGATCAATAAGTGGCTTGAAAGCAGAAGTCCTCCACAATAATACAATATACTATACGCGTAGAGCACGTTCTGACGTGATTTTTGTGGCTTGTGATGGTACCAAGCATTTAATCTTGTCCTTTTTTGTTAGTGCTACTTTGTAAACAGTCCGGATGGCCAGCTCAGAAGCAAATAATGACCTAAAACCAAATAATTTTTAACATCCTTCTTCCTCTTCTTCCTTCTCTTTAGTCTTGCCCAAAAGTGGGAGAATGTCTCCAACTCCCTAACAAGACAGCTTCAGAGCCCCCTCTACTGGAGCGCTGACTTCAGTAGGACTGAGCTGGTCTGACCAGCAGAACAGGACAGGTATTCGGCCGCTCCTCTGGGGCTGCGAAAGGACTGCTCCAGGCGTGCCTCTAACGGGGATGTTCGTATGGTCGATGTATTCCTCTAGAGGTGAGGAAAGGTTTGACAATTTCAGGACAGCGTGGCAGAACATATATTGGATTGCTATGTCGGTTCTGCTGGTTTTCCGTTAATTCCATGTTCAGGTTATCAGAGTTGATAGCACTACAAGAAAGTGTTAGCAGAACCAGAGCTGCCTGGACTTGGTGAGATTACTGTTCTCAGAGCTGCAGAAGAGTGCAGCGTGCTTTCATGTCTCCTCTGAAGTTTCGGGGGGATTGTTTGCTCCACCTCCTTCCTCTCCCCCCCCGCTGTGGAGCATAAGGAAGTCTTGTCATGGGACAAGACGCAGCCTGGTGACTGCTAGGCTCCCCAGGAAGGATGCATGTCCCTAAACAAGAAGGGAAACAGGAAGGAAAGCATGGAGAAGAGACTGAAGGCAAACAGGTACGCCTGAGAAAATGGAAATACTACCAAAATAGAAAAAAAGAAGACAGCATAGTGATTAAGAGATTGGGAGCGGATGCCAGGAATTAAATCCCAAAGGTCCACTACAAACTTCCTGTGTGACTTCTGACAAGTCACTGTTTTTCCTTGCAGTGCTCTTACATCCCTAAAATAAGGACAGTGTTTCCTTTTCTTACTTCATGCTACATGATGGCATTGAACAATTAGGCCTCTATAAAAACTTCTTATAAATAAATGGGCTAACTGATCTCACTATAAGTATAATAGTTCCTGAAGAATCTCCGTGAGTGCTCCTACTGAGGATTTTGCATAGAAAGCCTTAAGCAAGCTAAATAACTTCAGGCTGAAGATTTAAGTGTGTTTTGTAGTTGCTATTCACAGAAATGAAGCTTCTGTTCTGGAAAGCAGTAGCTTTAAAAGGATGTGGGCAACCTATGTGGAAAACCACAGAATATCAGTTTGTACCATGTTATGGTAAAATGAATAGCTTGATTCTTGTGCTCAAAATCAGCCTAACATTAAGTAGATAGTAAACGTGAAAAAGATGATTGTTCACTTTTTCTCACAGTTTAAAAAACAGAGTGCCTGCTCAACTTTCAAAGTAGAGACTGTGACTCTAAGTTCAGATCAGGAAGGGGGTCCCAGCTTGTCTAGAAAAAATATAAAGAGGGGGAGAATTGCCTATCTTGATAATTGCCTATAGCCTGCTGTGATCATGTCTGTAAGATGAGAATAGAACTACAAATCAGCAGATAAAAATTGCTGGTTTGGACATCAGGCTTGATAGGTGGGTGAAGCGATGAGATGTTAAAGACAAATAATTCTATTTTTCCAGTTCTTTAAAAGCAACAAGAAGAAAGAACTTCAGTGAAATCCAAGCTTCTAGGTGTTTGGAGACAGAAAGAACAAGTTTTACCAGGATGGCGTTCTCCTACCATCTGGCAGGAATTCCTGGCTCACTGTCATGGATTGCAACTAGCTAGTCTATTATCTTTTTGATTTAAGTAAACGAACTTTCTACACAAAGGAGAGGCAGTAGGTCTCATTTAACAGGACTTCAACTAAGAATTTTCTGTGATGACGTGTAAGAACTAGAAGACAGACAAAAATACCCAAGGGCGAGGTGGCAATAGAGTGTTTTGACCTCAGAGCAGGTACGATGGGGAATTAATACTGAATTTCTCGAGTACTGGTCCCATGGGTAATCTCATCTAAACCTTTCAGGAATGACCTTGGCACAAAAAACGAGTGCGATAATCAAATTTGATGAACAAAAGTGGTAGGCTTCATAATGCAAGAGAACTAGAATATCTTTGTCTTTTGATGACTTGGAGTGAGAAACAGAGATGAGATGAAATGTAGCAATGGAAAGTGCAAGGCAGTGAATTTAGGGGCGAGAAGAAATTGGCCAAGAATGCTAAGAGTTTATTACTTGAAAGTGACTGAGGGAAGGAAGGTGTATTTACTAGTTGATAAAGGTTAGTAATGAGCTGCACTGAGGCTGTGGAAAAAAGCATGTAGAAAAGTTGGTTTAAGGGGAATAGTGATGCTGTCATACAGGGGATATGAATTCAAAGGGGAACAGGGACAAAAAAGGCTTTCAGGGAGATACCACAAATACAAAGCTGGTATTATGAAATGAGGGAGTGGTTTACTTGGCTATTAAAAATGAAGCCTGAAGGGAGATATGATTATCATCTTGATGTATTAGTGAGAAAACAGCAGGGAATGCAAAGGATTATTTAAGTTAAAGGATAATCTTGACATGAAAACAAATGGCTATAAGCTGGACATGACTAGTTCTAGATGGGAAAACTAGAAATCTTTTTCTAACGTGAGAGCAATAAGACAGGAAGCACTAAAATAAGAGAAGTCTAAACACTAACAGCATTATTAGTATTAGTAATAATTAACATTACAATCGAACACTGAAAAAAGACTGGTTTTAGGATGGAAACTTTGAGGTGGGGCCTATGGAATCATCTAGTCCAACTTCCTGCTCAAAGCAAGGCCAACTTCAAAGTTAAATTATTTGGCTTTGTACATACCTCTTGCTTTAGAGAGGCTGGATCTGTTGATTTAAATAAGCATTCCTTTCCAG